AGAATTTAGAAAAAGCCTTTTATTGGTATCAAAAAGCAGCAGAAAATGGGTTTACTGATGCAATGTTTAATTTAGCAATATTTTATGAAATTGGACATGGAACAAAAGAGAATTTAGAAAAAGCCTTTTATTGGTATCAAAAAGCAGCAGAAAATGGGTTTACTGATGCAATGTTTAATTTAGCAATATTTTATGAAATTGGACATGGAACAAAAGAGAATTTAGAAAAAGCCTTTTATTGGTATCAAAAAGCAGCGGAAAATGGTCATGAAGTTGCAATATACAAATTAGCCATATTTTATGAAATTGGAGAAGGAACAAAAAAGAATTTAGAAAAAGCCTTTTATTGGTATCAAAAAGCAGCGGAAAATGGGTTTGAATATGCAATGAATGAATTAGCCAATAGTTATGAAAATGGAAAAGGAACAGAAATGAATTTAAAAAAAGCCTTTTTTTGGTATCAAAAAGCAGCAGAAAAAGATCATATTATAGCAATGAATAATTTAGCCATATTTTATAAAAATGGAAAAGGAATAGAAAAGAATTTAGAAAAAGCCTTCTATTGGTATCAAAAAGCAGCAGAAAATGATAATGAGATTGCAATGAATAATTTAGCCATATGTTATGACAATGGAGAAGGAATAGAAAAGAATTTAGAAAAAGCCTTCTATTGGTATCAAAAAGCAGCAGAAAAAGATCATATTAAAGCAATGAGTATGTTTTATAATGAAGAAGGAACAGAAAAAAATTTAGAAAAAACCTTTTGTTTGTATCAAAATGCAACAAACCATATGTTATGAAAATGAAGAAAAGACAGAAAAGAATTTAGAAGAAGTCTTTCATTTGTACAAAAAAGCAGCAGAAAATGGTATTAAAGAAGCAATGAATAATTTAGCCAATTGGTATTATAGTAGAGAAGATACAGAAAAGAATTTAAGAAATGCCTTCATTTTGTATAAAATAGAAGTAAAAAATGGTGTTAAAGAAACAATGTTTAATTTAGCTAATAAATATAGGATTGGAAAAGAAGTAGAAAAAAATTTAGAAAAGGCCTTTTATTGGTATCAAAAAGCAGCGGAAAATGGGTTTAAAGATGCAATGTTTAATTTAGCCAATTGTTATTATGATGGAAAAGGAACAAGAAGGGATTTTGAAGTAGCCTTTTATTGGTATCAAGAAGCAGCAGAAAATGGTGATGAGCGTGCAATGGATATTTTGGCTAATATATATATAGATAAGAAAGAAATAGATAAGAATTCAGTTAAACCCTTTTGTTTGCTTCAATAAGCAGCATAAATTTACAAAGTGGTTTTAAAAATGGAGTTGAATTATATAGTGGATGCAAGCATTTATATAATAATTGTAATGATTACCTGTAAATGCCAACAATGTAATACTAAATAGTTTTAACAAATGAATTTGCAAAAATTAATTTATTGAGTTTTTGTATATATAAATAGTTATTTACCTATATATGAGATTTTAGAAAATAAATTGTTATTTATTAATTATTATAAGAAATTCATAAATCTATATAAATAGATGTAATTTTCAAAGTGATTATAAAGCCATAGTATTCTTTTTTAGTTGTAATTATAATCATCATAAGCTGCTACATTGACCTGAATTATTAGAAAACTAGCTGATATTTTTATTCAAAAAAACATTACATTTTTTTGATATCCAAATTATACAGTCTTTAATGAACATTACAAGATTTAAATTTATTATTATCCATTATTTGAAATATTCAATTTATTAGTGCATCTATTTCTTATATAATAACTAATAAAGGTTATGACTTATGACAGATATTAGGTACATATTTTTAGACAACATTATATACTTATATCACGTGATAAGAAAATAATATAAAAGGAGGCCAGTAACAGATAAAAGCCTATATTAGTCAGCCCAATTTGTATATATCCAAAAAGAGGTCCTTCCATTGCTACGGACAGATAAAACATCAAGCATGTGATAGATAAATATCAGGGTATTCAATATTGCACAAATACTTAAATTTCTCAAAATTTATGTAATATAGTTAACAATATTATATATGTAATTTTTTGTACAAATTTTTTTCGATAGTTATCTTGAATTTTTTCCTTAAAAAATAATAAACAAGTCATATAAATATGACCATAATAATGAAGTTCTGACTAGTCACAACAAGTTTTTTTGGTGTTATGTATGTATTTGACGTTGTTGTTTCTTGGGGAAACAGAGATTTCAAACAGCATTTTTTTTATTAATTAATATAACGCCGCATTTTGTAAATTCTATCGATCACATGCGGATCGGCAATTAAATATTAAATAGTTATTGGAGGACCTCGAAATATACATAAAAAGGTTAGGTCCAAGTTTGCATACAATTAGCAACAAAAAATCATGAAAATCTTTCCTTATATAGGTAATTCCTGGTGGAAAGGTATTACCTTTTTTGGATTCTAACCAAAATTAACATAATTACGGCCCTGAAAAAATGCGTACTTCTAATAGTAAATTTTTTGGCCGCCACCTTACATCTGTATATATATTTCGGGGTCTTGATGAGGGAAAAGAGATATCGGTCTACGATTGATATCCTCTATCCAATAACTGAGTTATAGTTCGGTCATTAGGAATACTGCGGTGACCAATAGAAATTAATTCTACTAATAACTATTTCAATATTGGATGTTCATAAAAATATCGGCCATTAAAATCATAATCGACTGAATAATAATATTTGTTATGGATGATAAAACTTTGGCAAAAGATATTTATTTGAAATTTTTTATCTTAATGGAAAGAATAAAATTATATTGAGATACTCATATATTTTTGGTATTTCCTTGAGTAACACAAACTATCCTGTACGTTTGTTTCAGATCAACAAGTTGCAGCAGCAATTATATAAGGCTAACAATTCAAAAAAATTGCTAATCCTTATCCTTTTCAATTTCTTTTTTAAATTTTATTAAATCATGAATAATAATAATTTTTTAACGAAATTGTCACAAAATTTACTTGATATTTTAAATGATGAAGAATATTATGATGTTACTATTGAAGTTGGTGGAGACCCTTATATAAAAATATTTCGTGCTCACATGGTTATCTTACATTATCGTTCTAATTGTTTAAGAAGAATTTTGTCAACCAATAAAAAGAAACATGATGGAACTTTGGTACATATAAAATTACCAAATATTTTACCTAAAATTTTTCAAATAATATTAAGGTAAGAATTAAGAAAATAATTGAATTTTAATTACAAAAATGATTTTATATAATAAAGTATTTTTTTAAAAAAAAAATTTAAAAAATTTACACTTTTTATTTTAGATATATTTATGGTGGAAAAATTTCTTCAGAGGAATATGATACTTCGGATATAATTAAAATCTTAGTTGCTGGAAGTGAACTTGGTCTCCAAGAATTAATCACTTATTTACAATCCTTTTTGGTTGAAAATAAGGCAAATTGGATGGAACAAAATTTTGATTTGATATATAAAACAAGTTTTGAGAACGATTCTTTCTTGGAACTTCAAAAATTTTGTACTGATTTAACGTCGAAAGAACCAGTTAAGATATTTAAATCTCCAAATTTTTCTTCAATTTCGGAAAAACTTTTAGTTTCACTTATTCAAAGTGATATTCTTCAAATGAATGAAATTCAAATATGGGAAGATGTACTTGGATGGGGACTTGCACAAAATCCAGAACTTCCTTCTGATCCTACAAACTTTTCAAAAGAAGATTTTAATGCTTTGAAAAATAGTTTACAACATTGCGTTCCACATATTAGATTCTATAATTTAACTTCTAAAGAATTTTCAGACAAAGTGTTACCCTATAAAAAAATTTTACCAAAAGAGTTATATAAAGATTTATTAAAATATTTTTTGAAGCCCAGTATCCAATCAAGTAAAAAATCAAAACCTCGTATTACTACTAGAAAATTAATATTGATTCTAATATCATTACAATTCAACATACTGAATTAATCTCAAAATGGATCGATAGATTAGAAAATTCGGATGAGATAAAAAATACGTACAACTTCAAATTGTTACTTCGTGGAACTCGGGATGGATTTGCAACTAAAAAATTTTATGAAATCTGTGATAATCAATCTCGCACTGTGACAATAATTAAAGTGAAACATAGTGAAGAAATTTTTGGTGGATATAATCCAATTGAATGGAAATCTGATGGTTCTTATGCCACTACTAAAGATAGTTTTATATTCTCTTTTAAGAATAGGGACGACTTGCAAAATTATATTTTAAGTCGCGTGGAAAATGAAGGACATGCTACGTATAATAATTATGGCTTTGGTCCATCATTTGGTATCGATCTTGTTCTTTATGGATACGGTGGTAAATGCTGTAAGGTGGCTTACGAAAAAAAAATTAGAGAATCTACTAAACTTTCTGGTTTATTTTCTGTGGAAGAATATGAAATATTTCAAATTATAGAATAAATATATTTGCAGTTGTCGATTTTGGTTATTTTAAAGTATTTTATTTTATTTTTATTTTTTTAAATGCACCTTAAGATCAGTAATATCACACGGAATCTAGTTTGTATAACGGAAACTATTGTATATGATTCTAACTTTTAATAGACTTTTTATCTACTCATTTAAGTAAATATTATCTGTAAAAATTATCAATAAAAAGTCACGGACGATCTTTGGAACCGTTGTTTAATTTAAGATCCCTTTTTATTATCAGTGATAGGAAGGTTATTAATTTTTTTCCAAGTTTATAAATACAAAATTTCAAATACACTATGGCGAAGTATAATTATAATGACTTAAAAAAAAAAATTCTTATGGAAAAAAAGTTGTAATGATTAAATTAATTTTTTAAGCTTATACTAGACCTATGAATCTTATCAGTATATACTGTAGGACATTTATTGATATCCATTACCTTAGTGCTTATAAATTAGTACAGATATAAAAATTACTGCATTTTGTAATTATTCTTCTCTTTATATTGAATTACAAACTTTTGAAATAAAACCATTATAATTAGTGCCATTACTGCGTGTGACGATGGATTGTGAATAATATCCAGGTTCATGGTATTATCCAGAAATAGAAACAATAACAATTTAAGGAAATCTAAAATAACTTATCCCGTGATTTTAAATATAATAAATGTAATAATTTCAATCGAATCTGAAATTTATCATGTGCAAGTTACCGATAATTTTTAGACCATTTTATTGATTACGTTTCCAATGGCATTATACTTCGTAAAAGAAATATTAAGTGTTGTAACACCTGAGCCCATAGAGAATTATGTTTGCCACCTCAGGTATTAACAAAATGACNAAAGTGTTATCTTGTAAAAACTTTACCAAATGTATTATAAAAACCTATTAAAATATTTTTTGAATCTCGATAACAACGATTCAAATTAAATGCTCGTATGACTACTAAAAAATTAATTTTAATACCGAAATCATCACATCTTAACAATGCTCAAAATGGATCAATAGATTAGGAATTACAGATGAGGCAGGAAATGAATACAATTCAAATTGTGATTTTGTGGATCTCATACGTCTAAAAAATTTTATGAAATCTGTGATAGTTAATTAGAAGCCTTTTTTTTATATTGGTATTTTATCTCATATCATTTAATTTCAATTTTATAACCAAATAATCTGGAGTAAATTCTGGATTAATTATGCCCAATAAATGATCATTGAGCTCCTCTTAATCTTTGGAATCATTAATTATTGACTAACAACTCAAAATTTCGACTCTGATTATTATATACAGGAAGTACAGTACATTTTTGAATAATTAATAAAAATTTGGTTTACCTGGGTAGTGTATTTGCCATATTATTTTCTTGTTTATACTGTGTATTTATTACGTTCTTTTATGTCCTCTTATCATTCATGCTAATGGTTTCGGATTATAAAATTCTTTTCTCTATTAAAGCACGGCAGTTATAATTCAATCGAATAATTTCGAGGTCATAGTTACTTGTTCATATACGAAATAAATGATTTGTAAAATCATTAGAACAAGACAAGTATCATGTAAAGTATACGTATGATATTTTTTATTTAAAAAAAAAAATCTTTCATGATTTTTCTTGAGAAATAT